ATTCTACATAATTCTATAAATTTATATGAAAAATAATTGTAAAGAGAAAAATTTGCTAATTCATAATTATATTTAATTATGTATGTAATCATATGCGCGCGCGCGCGTGTGTGTATGTATGAAATGTAGATATATTTGAATCAAAGTATACTAAGTAAAAAATCGTAATTTTGAATGAATGTTTTTGCCATTTCATTTGAAAGTATATTTTAGTCTAACAATAAGTACGATGCTTTCCAGAATCGTTTACAAAGGTGCATAATGGAATGCAATGACAATATAAAAGACAAAATGGGGCCAAATCCGACTCAGGGCGAGGTGGACAGGTATAGCGAAGAATTTGAAAAGTGTGCCACCAAGTGTGTAGACTCTTATTGCGTGTTACTGCCGTCCTTGGAAAAAACTATGAAAAAAGTTCTCAGTAAAAATGAGTTCTCCTAATGTTTTTTTCAGCTGGAAATAAATATCAACACGTTTTACTTTTAATGTCTTTAATTAAAAATGTCTTCTAACTAGTATATTAGTTTCAAAAAATATACTAGATACAAAATTAAATGCAGTAGCATTTAAATCTGTTTTGAATATATATATGTATATATACATATATAAATGGTTGAAAATATTTTTACATATGTTATTTAATAGTCCCAACAAATATCTCGTCTCAGAGAACCAGGATTTTTCCAGTCTTTTTAATTCTATTTCTGTTTCCTCTCTTATTTCCCTTACACCTATTTACAAGTAGTGTCTATACATATAGAAATAGAAAAAGTATTAAAAAATCAGCTGTGCACTTAAAATCCGCGAATCAATAATAAATGACGGATTACTACGTGCACAAATGTTGTTCTTGGTCTTGGGCGAATGTGTGAGATATTATTATACTAAACCACGATACTATTTTACCTACCGAATTTCTGGAAGAGCCAATGAGGACGCCGATTCTCAGATCGAGTGACTTAAACCCTGATTGGCTCTTGCAAGCAATCCTGTGGGCAAAATAGTATGTGCCGTGTGTTGGCTCTAGTTGTCGGTGATCCCTCGAGGTAGGAAAATTGCGCTTATACATATAACAAAAATGATATTTTTAGAACTTCCTACGTAAACGAAAAGGAAAGTAAAACGTGAGTAAATGTTAACATGGTTGAAATAATATTAAAGAATTACCTAAATTATTTTAAATTCGTGGAAAAATTAGTTTCACCCTGAAATGACCCCGTCATCTTAACTCTATTAAGGTGGTTGGCCCAGTAATCGTCAAGGTACCAGTAATCGCTATGTTCACGCATTAACGATATAAAATAACGTTTTCTGTCGATCGTTCGGCTTGTTGACATTTTTGTTGGTCCTAAAGAGGTATTTATAACGTTGTATTACATTGTGAAACTCATAAGTATACGAATTCAATACTGGTTAAATCGAATATGTGCAGCAACCGAGTCTATGCGTACTTTTGATCGAATGCTTCCTTTTAAGGTTAAACTACACCGATTGACATCTTGTGTAATCTTGCGATATCCGACGACTCGCATGAGGTAAATTGAACTTCAAGTTATATATGAAGATCTCAGTTTTACGTACAGCATGGCAAATTATTGTTTCATGCAAATTTCATAGTTTTTTAATATGACGAACTTTGGTTCACCCAAGTACGTAGTCCTCCGAGTAATCGCCATATTTGTCGATTACTGAGACTAGGTGGGACAGAAATAAATCTTATAAATCGAATAATAATATACCCTAAATTCAAATTAAAAAATTAAGCCTGTAATTATTACTATCTATATATTACATGGACCAGTAATCGCCATAGACATAATCGAGTTAATAAATAGATACGTAAGCAAATAAAGGATGTCGATCACTGGATCATTTCTATGTCGATAACTGTGCACATCTAGAACAGAGATGGGCACTACTTAAAAAACTAGTTAAAATTTTTTTCTGTTAGAATAGCTATTAATATTTCTTAAATTAATAGTAATAAAAATTTATAATAATAAAACTTATAATACTGAAAATTTATAATAATGAGAAAAAAATGGTCAAAGTTATTCTTATTTCTTTGAAAAAATTAATAAATTTTATTTACTTACTCTTATTCGTTATTTATTTGATCGAAAAAGTATTTTTAATGGATTTTTATTCAAGTGGTGCTTATTCTTATTGTTAGTCTAAAATTTTGAATCGTTAGAATTTTTTTCTATGTATGTGTGCAATAATTAATATATAATTACATATACTTGTTATAATTCACATATAAGATATATTGTCAAAACATAATATAATTTTAATTTTAATTCATGTGTGTCCGAATCTTTTCATCCTTCGTACCATGGAGAATGTATAAGGAGACCGAACTGCCCGTAATCAGAATGGGCCGACGATTGTGCCCGCCAGACGTTCTGAAAAGCAACACTGGGAGCGCTGTCATCAACTAACTCCATTCGCATTCGTACGTGACACATGGTTGTCATATGCATGAAGGTTCGTGGTTATATTAATGATAGAGTACGAGAGGTTAGGAAAAACATATATTTTGGGTATACAGTAACAATATTTATACAGAACAGTTCTGTACCTACACGGCAACCATGAACATCGAGAGATGCGACTTGTCATTGTCTAATCGGTCCTAATGGCATCTAACCACATATGTCATACGCTGATTTGTACACTTGAAGAGGGCCAAAACCAATGGCCGAAACGTAGTGAGAAAATAAAGGATTTTTCCTGTAACCATGCAGTCGTGTCGGATTATTCACCTGATTGTTAATATATGAGCATAAGATTAATTCTACTCTATAGAATACATACCTTTGGGACACAAAA